ACAAATATTCAGGTTCTCCATCAACATCGCCCCTAATGCTATCTTGTTATATATTTATATTTCTGTGTTCATTTATCCATCAGTGCATTCCACAGAGCAAGGGGACTTACTGTTTGCTCGGCATGACCCATAAACATTATTTTATTTCCGTCATCATCCATTCATTCCCTATTAACTATATTTAGGAACTATCCTTCAAGTCAATGGTCATGACAAGCAGCCCCATTATTCAAGCCTCTTCACTTTGTCATTCAAAATCAACAAAAAAATCAACTTTCTGCCTTACACTCATGTATTTCTAAAAAAAAATCGCTTAGGTTTAAAGAGTTTTGTCTCAGATTATATTTTTTAAGCAGTATATTAAAACCCTAATACTAAATGAAATTCATTTAGCACGGGTTTTTCTTTAAAAAAATCTGTTTTGTTAAACCTTGCCACTTGAGAGGAAAAGTGAGTTGAGGGGTACTTGAGGGCTTGTCCACACAATGCCTTCACAACAGCATAGTTGGCCAATTGTTGGTCTAGCGCAGGGGTCTCCAAAGTTGGCAACTTTCAGACTTTGTGGACTTCAGCTCCCAGAATTCCTCAGCCCGCTGAGGAATTCTGGGAGTTGAAGTCCACAAAGTCTTAAAACGGGCCAAGTTTGGAGACCCCCTGCGCTAGTGCCTCTGAAAGGCTATTTGTGTAAATCCCCCTGGCCCCCCCGCCCCAGGGTCCATAGGATACATGGGAATTGTAGTCCATCCCCATAACCCACTTGAGAAAGTGGGATCTGAGCTGTAGGAAGTAAGAGAGGAGTCCATTTCCCCATAGGGAACTTGAAACATCTTCATACATCATCTAACCACAATTGAAACCTAGAAGACATCCTTACTAGTGATGGCTGGATGATTTTAAAAGATGCTTTTAAGTTTACTAGGGTTAGAGTTATTTCATCTCTATAGGTTTAGGAAAAAAAACAACAAGAAAGGCAATTCTATTCTTTAACAAGGTGAGCCACTTATAGGATTTTTATCTAATTTTTTTTATCCCACCTTTATTACTTGATCAGTGACTCAAGGTGGCGAACGTGCTCCTTCCTCCTTTTTTCCCCATAACAACAAACCAGCGAGGTGTGTTGCTCTCAGAGACAGGGACTGGCCCAAAGTCACCCAGCTCTCTTCCCCCCCCCCCCATGCCTAAGTCAGGATTAGAACTCGCAGCCTCCTGATTTCCAGGGCAGTATCTCAACCACTACATCAAACTGGCTCTCGGTTAAAGTGAGGGTTCCATGTTACCTGGATCAGGATCAGTAATCAATCTTACATTTCTGCTTAAAAAAGAGACGTAATTCTCTAAATTCTACAGGACTGAGTATTTATCTAGCTAGAGGTTCATTCTGGCTGGGGAATTCTGGGAGTTGAAGTCCACAAGTCTTAAAAGTTGCCACAGTTGGACGTCCCTGCTTTAGATGAATGAAAGTGAATTATCCCACATCCAGAACAAGCCTTGATAGGTTTTGATGTTACTTTCGCCAGGACTCTTGATTTTATCACACCTCTTTTTAGCTGATAGATAGACAGACAGACAGACAGACAGACAGACAGACAGACAGACAGACAGACAGACAGACAGACACTAGATAGATAGATAGATAGATAGATAGATAGATAGATAGATAGATAGATAGATAGAGTGAATGAATGAATGAATGAATGAATGAAAGAAAGAGAAGGAAGGAAGGAAGGAAGGAAGGAAGAAAGAAAGAAAGAAAGAAAAAGAAAGAAAGAAAGAAAGAAAGAAAGAAAGAAAGAAAGAAAGAAAGAAAAGGCATTGACTATTGACTCTCTAGTGGACTAGAATAAGGTACATACAACCTCAACTTTTTGCTTTGACATAAAATATGTTAACCATTTCTATAAGAAAGAAAGAGAGAGAGAGAGAGAGAGAGAGAGAGAGAGAGAGAGAGAGAGAGAAAAAGAAAGAAAGAAAGAAAGAAAAGGCATTGACTATTGACTCTTTAGTGGACTAGAATAAGGTACATACAACCTCAACTTTTTGCTTTGACATAAAATATGTTAACCATTTCTATAAGAAAGAAAGAAAGAGAGAGAGAGAGAAAGAAAGAAAGAAAAGAAAGAAAGAGAAAGAAAGAAAGAAAGAAAGAAAGAAAGAAAGAAAGAAAGAAAAGTTTTTGGGATAGCTGCTTGTGAACAGCTCCCTTCCACCAGGTCCCAAATATTTCAATTCAGTTCCCTTGTGAATGACGTTGAAGCTGATGACATTATAACTAGAATACTTTTTTTAAAAAAAACATGTTTGAGCCCTTGGCCATTACATTTCTTGCTGTCTCCTCTAAGAAAGGCATCAGCCAGATGTGCTTCGGATGGACATTCATGTGACATAATTTAATGTCTTGCAAAGGATAAGATTTCCCCCCCCCCCACACACACACAGACACACACAAGGCAGAAGATCCCAGCTGTGCAGTTTAAGCTCAGGAGCTGAAATAACCAGCAGAAAAATTGCGCCTGTTCAGACGGCTGAACGTTTGTGGCAATAAATACGGAAGAAGCAGCCTTGAAATATTTTGACTTGCTTCCCCTTTTTTCTTTCCTGAATTCTTCAAGACATGAAACGTGGGAAAATTTGCAGAGGGTTGTTGAAAAAAAACCTGATGACCTTTTGCAGTAAATGTGGCAAGGAACACAAACAACCCGTTTCTATTGTGACGGAAAAAATATATATATAAAGGTTGGGTCAATGTCTGTAGGAAAAAGGGGAAGTGACAGCAAAGTTCGTTGTTTTGTGGGTTTCTCCTAACTCTGAACTGTGTCATAGCTGCACAGCTAAAAACACAAACAAACACAAATGTTAAAAGCCAAGTCAGGGCAAGAATGGATGTGAGTTTTGACACTTAATGCCCCACTTTAGAACTTAGTGTCCTGACAAATTCCACGTTGGCATTGGTCCAGGAGATTTTCCTGCACGGGGAACCTTCATTCTTAAGATGTTTTGAATTATCCTGGCATTAAACCAAGGACGGAATGAAACAGTTTGCAACTGTAGCACTGCATTTGTGAACGTTTTTTGAACATTTGAAGTGTGTTTGCTATTTTCTTAGGGAAATTTTGCTCTTTTTATAGCACAAGCTGGCCTGAGCTAAGGAAATAATACCTTGATGACTAGATAAAACGGGTGTTTTCATTTTGAAGGGAGGGATTTAAAAACAAAAAGGTTTTTGGGAACAAGGAGAAGGGAAATCAGATCAGTTCGGGTAGTCCTCGACTTTAACGACTACAATTCAGCCCCAAATTTCCATTGCTAATTTTGCCTCCTCTTACGACCTCCCTTTCCACTGTCGTTAAATGAATCACTGCAGTTGTTAAATTAGTCACACGGTTTTCCCCATTGACTGCTTGTCACCTGACCCCGGGGACACTGCAACCGTCGTAAATACGAGTCAGTGGCCAAGCGTCTGCATTTGGATCACGTGATCCACGGGGAGGCTGCGACAGTCGTAAGTGTGAAAAAGAGCCTTGGAAAAAAGTGACTTGCGACCGTTTTCACCCTTGAAACGGTCACCAGCATCCCCCCCTGGGGTCATATGACTAACATCTGGTTGCTTGGCAACCGGCATTTATTTACGGGACGCCGTTTTTTGTGCACCTCTGATGAGCAAAGTCAGCAGGGGGGGGACCAAAAATTCACTTAAAACATCTTCCCAACTGCAGCGAACCGCTTAACACGACCGTCGTAAAACGGGGCAAAACCCGCTCAACCACCCCCTGGCTTAGCAGCGGAAACGTTAGGCTCAACTTGCGGTTGCAAGTCGAGCACTACACCTGTAGTAGCAAGCAAAAGCCCTTCAAGAGCCCCCCCCCAGCCTTTGCAGAAGACCACCCCAGGCTGCAGGGGGGGGGCGGGGGGGGAGACACGGCGAGGCTGCTTCTAAGCCTTTCCTCCATCGGCCATTAGAGGGCGCCCTCGGAGCGGCTAAGCAGCGGCTTAGTGCATTGCAACCTGCAAGCCCGGGGGTGGGGTGTGTGGAGGGAGAAGAAAGCCCCCTCCCCATTTTTCCCCCCCCCCGCGCGCGCGCACCGCCGAGCTCTCCTGCGCGTCCTTTCGCTTTCTTTTGCACGGCCGAAGCAATCCCTCCCGCTCCGGGCTCCCACGGGGACGGAGCGGAGTTGAAAGTGGGGGAGGGAGGGGGCTAGTTTGGAAGACGCCCCTCCTGGGACTGGGGAGGGGGGCAACCCTCCCCCCCTCCCTCCTTTCCCTCCCTGGCTGCCTTGAAGGTTTGATTTTTAAAAAAAAATAAAAAAAAAATTGAGCTATTAGCCCGAAGACCTCTTACTCTCCTTTATTATTGGGATCCCTTTCGCGCGGCGCGCTCCCCGGCGAAGGGAGGGGAGGAGGCGCGGCGAGGGCGTGTCCCAGAGCGAGGGGGGGGCGTGTCCGCGGCCCGAGCGGCCAATGAGCAAGCCGCGCCCGCCTGGCCAAGGCATCGGGCGAGCAGGCGAGAGGCCCCGCCAGGCTCCGGGCGGCCGGGGAAGCGGCGGGCGCGGAAGGGGGGCAGCCGGGCGAGCGGAGGAGCGAGCGGCCGCTTTGGCGCAGCGTCCGTCGGCGCCGCTCCTTCTTTTCGCCCCCGCGGGGCTCGGCATCCCCGGCCCCTGCTGCAAGCCCGCCGGCCGGCCGGCCGGGGGCGATGGATCTCGGCGTCTACCAGCTGCGGCACTTCTCCATCTCCTTCCTCTCCTCGCTGCTGGGCGCCGACAGCGCCGCGCTCAGCCTCGACAGTAGGTAAAGGCGGCAGCAGCAGCCCTCCAAGCAGCCAGCGGGGCTCCGGGACCCCCGCCCGGCTGGAGGCAGCCTGACAGCTCAGCCGGCCGGAGCCGAGGCGGAGGAGGGGTCTTCCAGCGGAGGAGGGGGCTTCCCGACCTGTCTCGGCCGCTGCTAACCCGGGATTCTCCTCCTTCCCTCCCTCCTTCCTTCCTTCCTTCCCCGTTTGTGTCTTGCAGCTCCTCCGGGGCCAGCGTGGTCGCCATCGACAACAAAATCGAGCAAGCCATGGTAGGTCGG